AAATCTCATTGTTATTTATTGTTTTGATTCAGCACGTTCCTATAACCGTTGGGCATCAACACATTGTGTACGTCCGTGAACGCGCACTCGCGGTAATTATAACGAACGGTTCTCGGGTTAACGTCTTTTCACTACAAAGATAATATTGTGAATATCGTATATTCGTATGCGTATAAATCTGTTAAGACTATGAATCATTTGTGTGTGCATTTTGCACCGACGGTTTTAATGATGAAGAATATTGACGTTTTGGTATTAATTATCTAAATGCTTTCAGCCATCGCGTACCGTTTTCGAAAGCTTCTACTCACAACTTAAGTGTTGCACGATAACAAGACAAAGCAAGCAAATAATAATTATTATTTATTGCCCGTTTCCATAATAGAGACGCATGCGAATGCTTTTAGTGGAACAGGCACAATATTATGATACCGTTCGTGACAAAACACGGTGCGCTCATTAATATTACGTGCATAAACCTCGTGATTTAACAATAATGATTTTAATTTACATATTCAATCATTGCCGTTGATGAGACCTTATTGAATAGTCAATATCGTAACGTTTTTAACGATTTGATTCTATAAATAAGATCATTATTTATAGTTGCACGTAATTCACCAATCCCAATATTCCAACACTTTTTTAAAAATTGTTATTAGAATATTGTGCTTGTGACTTGCGTTGCAACTCGTGTTAAATCATTATATAAGTAGGCAATAACTGTATTATGATGTATCAATGTTAAACTCGAAAAAAATCATGATTTTAAACCATTACGTTATTATTTTTTTATGAACAAACTAACATAATATTAGTAAATTAGTTATTTGTTTTTATTTGCGTTGTTGACTTTTAGATATTTTAATTATGATTAACACAGGGCAAGTATAGTTATTATTTTAAGTTTCGTTTTGAGTCATCAGAATAAATAAAATGTTGGCTTTAGGTGTTTGTAAATATGTATTATATATCTTCTCTGCAGGCTTAGAACTTCTAATTTATTACATTTTCACAACTAATTGGTCATAAATTTTTGCCGTTCTCTCATTAAAGGCTTCGAACACGTTCTCTTATAGATAATACGATTTGAAAAGCCTGTTGACATATTGAAAATTGAAAAATTACAAGTAATAATATGTGATTACAATTCAACCAAGATTTAACACATATATCATGGCGTAATAAATTTAAAATATAATAATAAAACAATAATAAAAGTACACAATGGTTGAAAACACGCAAGGCAAGTTGTTGGTTCGCAACATTATTTTGTGTAACGTAGTATAATATGTGTATTTTTTTTTTACAAAAAGAGTTTTATTTCATACTTAGGTATCTGCATTAATCTTAGATGAAATAGCAAAATGCAAAGATTCGAAATGACGAAAACATAATGTAAATATATTGTTACTTATGGACTCCAGTTTGACTAATTTTATTATTTTAACTAGTTACAATAGACTAAAACTGTAAATTAAAATTCTGTAATTTATCTTTTATTAATGTGGTTGTTTGAGACACAAATTTATTGAAACCACGTTTTACTTGTTCGGCACTATTTGTACAGGTATTGTACTTTCATAGAAAAATTTGGAGTTCTAGCGTTGAACTGATAATTTCCCATGTGTCCTGAAAGACGATGGTGGTGTTAATTCTGCAATCCATTAATGAACATCAATATAGTATTGTGATTCAAAAAAAATATTTTTTTTTAAATTTCCATTTAAATAAAAAATAATATTAGTAAGTATACGAATAAAAAATATTATTAATTATTTAAAATTAATTAATATGCTTATTATTTGTATTATTTAGTCTTCAGTTGGATTTACAATGTTTAAATAATTTAAATCGCCAAATGAAGACCTAGTGAAAATTGTATTAAACGAAAAATAGATGGATAAATTATTCATTTTTACTTGAGTTCTTATGTATTTTACAATTGTATATAATAAATTATATACTGGCATAATTTCAAAAATTTTTATTTCTACATAACATAAAATATTTTTTATGTAAAAATCGAAATCTAGTCATTAATAATTATGTATTATTTATTATAGTTAGTTATTATTTCATTGAATATTAAATGTTGAAATAGTGCACCTAATGATATATTGTTTCAAATTTTGAAATACGAATGATTAGCGATTTGAATAAAATATATGGATTTATTACAATGACTTAAAACATATAGTTTTAATGAAAAAAAACTCATAATTAATTCTATAGGTTGACTGAAGATGATAAGATAACATACTAAATTTACAGCAATTTGACAAATAACTGAATAATTATAGTCGTGCATTAAAAATTCTCAAAAATCTAAATAGGTATGAAAAAAAACAGTTGTTTTGGTAATCAATTTAACCAAGAATAAGCCATGTCTGGTGGACATATCTGACAACCAATCAACTGGGCCTAAAAGAAAAATAAACACGCAAATGCATAGAAATTCTAGCTCTACTAAAACTAATATTAAGTAATATTATGAAATTTAAATTTCACTAATAAAATGTATTGTCTTCATATGTGGTTATGGTTGTCTATCTATAACCGTTTGAGATGACGTCAATCCCATTTAGGTTTTCTTCGTTTAATCGACGCACAACAGTTTAACGGTTTGCCTGCGCGATTTGTGTGTCACTTAAAAAAATGTTATTGTTTATTTTAGATGTTCGACAAACTTTCAAACAGGTTTGATACTTACGATGGGTTACTTTTTAAGTATAATAAAATCTTCACCTACCTACTCTAATTCCCCATAAGGCATAAGTACATCTTAATTAACAGCTCAAAACTACCAAGTACAGTATGGTTCTTCAACATCGTAACGAATTGCTATGATTAATGCTAGTGTCCCAAAAATAGAAGGTATATTCAGCATAGATCAGCATAGATCAGCATAAAAATAATATACTCTCACATATTTATAATTTGTATTATTGATCAAAAAATGTAAATGTATATTTCAATGATGGCTTAGAGGTTGTTAAGTTTTACTATGGCAAACCACTGCTTAGTATTCTAATTATTAATAACTAATAATCAACAATTAATAAAATGATGACTTCAAAACAAGTGCTGCTGATGGTCTTAAAGTAAACGATTCAGCATTAACGACATCCCTGTAAATTTTATGAACCTTTTAGAATATACTTTATACAAACATTAAAAGATTTTTACTAGAAAATGTTCAATTTTCTTTTTAAATAGATAATAAGTTGTACTTACCCATTATTTTGTTCAGCAAACAAACTAGAAATTTTCACAGTTAATTTAGAAGATAGTCTCTTTTTGAATTTTTTGAGGTTAATAATTTCTAACTCAGATCCAAGGTTAACAACAATAAAATAGGTATTTAAAAACGAGTTACTTCTAAAAGTTAAAATTAAAATGGTGGTTATATCATATTATGTTGATTTTCAATCCAATATTCATTACCTTGAAAAAACAAATACGTATTTTGATATTTCGTACAATTTCAAGTCTCCCGTGCGGAATACTACTAATTGCCTCAAATTCATGATTTCTTTGAATATCTTCAAGTGACTATGTTTAGCGTTTTGTTCGAACTCAACGTTTAATGTTACATAATTAGGGTTCACCGGTAACCATGTTTTTGTCTTATTGGAGAATCCAGCCTGGGGTGAAGAATCCCATTGGAAAGGTGTACGACTTTTATCACGAATAAAACCAGATTTATCAATTAATTGATCATCTCTCAAATATATATCTGTCATTCCCAATTCATCACCCATATAAATAATTGGTGTCCCTGGTAAGAGCAACTGTATCATGTGTATGCCATCTATCAATTCCAATCCAAATCTTGAGGCTACACGAGGATACAAATCATGATTTCCTATCTAAAACATAATACAATATTGCATAGAGTATTCTTAAATCTTCACAGATTTATATTTGATTTACAGTAAGTTTGTTATTTGTTATTTTTCTATCCATCATACAATTTGTGAAGAGAAGATTTTATTCAATCTTCCACAACGATGGTGGTTTCTAGTAGTATATATTTTCATCTAGTTACAAATATTGGTTATAAGCAGGGCTTAGGACTTTTAGCACTTAAAATCATTAAAATACGCTCTTAAAAAAGCATTCAAAACATCATTATAATTTATAAGCACTCAAATAAGCATTTAAAAAAAACTTGAATTTGAGCAAAATATTTAATAAAAAAAAAATGTATTGATACAAAATGATTAAGACAAATTTCTAACTAAAAAATCAAAATAAATCTTGACAAATCTATTAAAACATTATTTGTATTTATCACGCCTGTAAACCACGAAGGTTAAATAATATTATTTTTATAAGCTAATAAACTTGAACTCAATTATATTAATTCCCCAAAATCCAGTTCTATTTTGAGCGTTGGAATATTTTTATTAACACTGCAATGCCGTGGACGACGACGGACTACGTGACAAAATAGATACAATAAAAATTATATTAGTATGATTTCTAGTACAAGTTTTTCATCGTACGATCACGTGATGTTTTTATAGATTGTAAAAAGTCAGAACTTTTTTTATTATACGTATCTTAAGATAATTCAAAGTAATGAATGTGTTATATTTGAACTTAATGATCAATTATTGCATAGGAAAAATGGTTCTAACTTTAGACTTTATTGCGTCACCCTAGCATCAGTGTATAAACAGTCAAATTTAATAATTAAAAATAAATATATATAAATCGAAAATATATCATGGCTATAAATATCGTAACTTTCCTACAAAATTATTTTTTATTTATACAGTTAAAAAAAATTCTTAAAGCACAAAAAGAGTCAAAATATTTGGCAGTCTATCATGTATAGAAAATCCTTTCGCAAAAAAATATTTTGGGCACATTTTAAGGGCTTACAATTATTAGTTTTCCGGTAAAACCAAAAAATTAAAATCGCAATAATTGGTTTCGCTTAAAAATTACAATTTTTTTCATTTTTTTTTCTCCAAAACTTTCTAAAACTACTGAACATTTTGATCTATGAAATTACTAACAAGATTTACTTTTCTATCAGAAAAGATGTTGATGTTAAAAATTGGAGCTTTTTTCCTACCCATAAAGTTAATTACAATATGACAGAAAAAACAAACACACATCATTGTAAAACCAATAAATTTATTGCTCCACTAAGAATCTAACTTCAAAAATATGTGTTTTACATAGAAAAAATTAAATATAGCATCTATATAGTGGATACCTATGTATTATAGTGTGACCATACAAAATATTTTGAACAGGACAGTCTCGGTTTTCGTACCTCTATCCTGTCGTTCCATAAGGAATCTTCGGAATAATACAATGTCTCGTTTTCAGAAGGTCTGGAGTTGAGTACCAGAAATTACTAGTCTACACTAGCCGCTACGGTAAAACCAGTTTCCCCTACTGTTGAAAGAGTTTTGAAATGATAATAGGTACCACTGAAAAAGATTATTTCTTAAAAAGTGCAAAACAGTTTTAAAGAATTTCTTTGAGTATTCAAATACTGAGTTATAGGTTTTTTGGCTTGTGACAAATATACTACTAAATTTGAGTAAGGTAATGAGATATCCAGTATATTTTGAAAACCTGCAGTATGTAGTTTTGTCCAATGCGTATCTTGCACATTTGTACGGTAATGGGAAACGACTATTTTAATTTATTTCGTTATTATATTATACATACAGTCCAACTTGACCATGCTCCTGATGGCAAATTTGACATCCATTCAGTTAGTTTTTCAACATATTCTTCTGCTGATTTATGGTTGAGACGAGCAAGACAAAAACTGAGTGGGAATTGGGCTCCAAGATTTGTTTCATTCCCATAAAATTTCACCGAATAGTTAGATTGTAAATATGTTTCGATGATCAGTATTCTGAGAATTGTTTTAACAAGTCAAAATGAACTATAACTTAGTGTATAAATATTAAAATGTTTTACTTTGTTTTACCTACCTTGTTTGACCATTATTTTTCTTATACTCGTCTGATAAAGATCTCCAGTCATTTACTTCATAAAAACATTCATCTAATGCTTGAGTATATCCAATTTTTTGTAGTTCTCCATTTTCCTATATAGGAGCATCCAATAAATCCTGTCTCTCGTATAGGAATGGAATAGCATCCATTCGAAATCCGTCAATACCTTTATCCAACCAGAAGCGTAATATGTCCTGTAAAAATAAACGAAGTGTTGATTAAAATTTGATTTTTTGCTCATGATGATTTAATGATTTACGAACTTGTATTTCTTGGCGGACTAATGGATTCCAAAAATTTAAGTCAGGTTGTTCTTTATAGAACTGGTGTAAGTAATACTGCTGCCGGATTTCATTCCACTCCCACATACTATTTCCAAATACTGACACCTATTCAAAATATGTAGTACACAATAATACTATGTCTTAAATTATTAATCTTGTTTTAATGAAAAACAAAATATATTTTTTAAATTTATTTGTGTATAATAAATAATGAAACATTTGTTGTAAATTGTAATAGCTAATCATCATACCAACAAAATATATTAATATTCTTAGAAAATATATCGTGACAAAAAATGTATAAAAAAATTCATAAAGTTAATTTTGTATTTAATTTTTACAGATTCCTATAACCATATCCTCACCCAATTATTCGGGGCTTGTCTGGTTCCATTTACATATTTTGCATCTGCCCATGTATAATAATCAGTATAAGGTTCTATGCTTTGTACTGATTTAAGAAACCATTCATGTTTATAACTTGTATGGTTAGGTACAATATCAAGAATAATTTTGATTCCTACAAATTGATATGTTTTAATTATTTATCAACACAGACATTCATATTATAATAATTTATAAAAACAATATATAACTTAACCGTTTTCGTGGAGTTTATTTACTAACTCTTCTAAATCTTCCATGGTGCCCATAATTTCATCGATTCCTCTGTAATCCGATACGTCATAACCCAAGTCAAATGCAGGTGAAGGGTAAATCGGAGTCAACCAAATAGCACTTACTCCCAAATACTTAAGATAGGGAATTTTTTCAATTATTCCTATAGTGTATTGATTAAATATATTTAACTAAACCATTTGAATAAATTAATTTAAATTTAAAAAAAGAACTTTATTTAAAAACTTTAACTTAAATTTAACTTAACTTTAAATTTAAACTAAATCATTTAACTAAATATGCATAAAAAAAATATACTAATTTATTCGATTTTGGCCATTATCTTAAAAGTTAAATATTATAGTAATAAATTACTATAATTTATAATTTTTTATTTAAATAGTCATTTAAGTTTCCAATTAAATTTGCGAGTTAACTAGTTAAAGTCTAAATAATTTATACTATTTCAGTAACATAAAAAAATGTATTATGTTAAAATCACGTTTATGCATTTAAGATGTATGGTTAAAAGTTTAAACTAATTAACAGACTATGTTTTTAAATTCAAATAAACAAGTAAGAATTATTTGATTTCTTAATATTCTAAGCACAGAAGCACAGAAGTGTAATAATATAATAAATTACATTTAGTGTGCAATAAGTATTGTTGAAGAAGTTTAGAGCCTTAGATTAATGAATTCAAATTATAGAAAGGTGCTTTGCACAATGTGATAAGTTATCGCTTATTATTTTAGTTTTGATTCGACTCACTAGTTTCACATTATTTCAGGATTAGGTACGATATAAACATATACTCGTCTCTTCCTATTATAAATAAAATGTAAAGAAAAAACGATAAATGATTGAACAATTGAGGTATATGAATTTTAAACATTAAGTGTGAAATATATTATATGTTAACTATTTACTTATAATCAAACGTTCTTAACTTTGAGACTTTAGCAAACTCAAACGAACATGTCTAACTCTGCTTGTATCAATGTTTGGAAAGTTTGCTTCATTTTAAATTTTATGACCGTCTATAATTGTGCTGATAAAATGGTTGTATTTAATGTACAGAAAATTGTCAATATGTTATGTTACCACGTATGTCCCCGATGCCATTATCTGTGGAGTCCTTAAAAGACCGTGGGTAAATTTCATAAATGATTCCTGTTTGCCACCAATCTAATTTTGCTTTATTTTTCTTGTTCAAAAATTTGTATTTTTCAAGTTTCATTTGATCTAAAATGTTAGAAATAATGAAATACCATAACACAGAAAAATAAAAAATAATGTATAATTTACACATTCAAGTTATGATGATTTTTATTGAGAATTTGTTTATTTACTTTCCATATTGTCATAATTATTTTCATATTTCAAGTTGTTTTGATCTTTAAAGCCATTATTAGGGTTCGTGTTCAACCCTAGTTCAATTAAGAATGCATCTCCACGATGAATGTCGGTTATTTCCTTATTACTAGCCACAACACCGCTTACAATGAAACACACAAATAGAAAAAACTCCATTTTATGATAAATTAATAAATGATTTGGCCGTATGACTTCTTCAAAAATATCGAATACACTAAATTCATAAGGTACAACATAGTATAGTATACATATAGTATGGAGATAAGATAAATAAAAAAATTGTACACCTGAAATTTAATCGTTTTTAAGGTAATTATTTTATTGTTTTATATTTTTACACATTTCTAAGTTGTTTTTGGAATTTCCAAGATACAATTCAAGCACGTGTCCTATACATTTTAACATTTTGTAATCACTTAGACCAGAGGTTCCCAAACTTTTCACTTTTCGACCCATCTTAGAAAATATTTAAATTTTGGTAACTCACAACAAACTAATGAGTTCTTTTTTTTGTTTTATTGTTAATCGCTACCTGCTAAAACTTTCAGTCTGGCAACGTCATGGTGACACATCACTGGTGAATTTTTAATCAATGCGAATAATGATCAATATACAATATAATTTCATTGAAAATACTGTAAAAATTCTCATATTTATGCATAAATTATATCTTTTCTTCATTGTACATAATATTATATATAATATATATATATTTAATTTTAATCTTATGCTATATAATTTTAGTGTAAAAGAATACATAAATATTATCAAAACTTAACAAGAACTACCAAAAGTATAACTGCGACCTGTTCATTTGGGAACCTCTGACCTACAGAATTTATTAGATGTATATACTTTTTTTTTTTGGTTGATAGATATTTAGATATTTTAATACCAATAATACCCATCGAATAACTAAACTAACAAAATTAAATAATCCATTTTTTTCTATTTAATACTATTCACTAAATATAGATTAGATAACAACAAGACATATAAGTACTTAAGTATAGGTACTTGCTTTAAAATTATTTTAACTACTTATAATTTATATCAGAGGGCTGAGTCATTAGCTGTATCTACTTTTGGTTTTATGTCTTCGTGAAAATATATATTTTGGTGATAAACAATATATTATTTAATTCAAACAATAAAATTATCTATGATATTTATTGTAATAATAAGTTGTACTCCTGATTATTATCTTTATACAGGCAACACTGGTATACAAACAGCTACAGAAAATCTATCCTCTGTAAGAGTACACAAAATAATAGATAAATGAGCCTTCTGGTTATTCTGTGGGCGCACCATCCAACCGACGTGTAATCACAACCGGGTCGTAGCAACCATAGACCTTATTCAATTAGAAAATACCTGTGGATAACAAAATATTTAAAAAAAAGGCTTAACAACTTCTCTCTGTGATTTAGGCTATATTGACTAAAACATACTGTGATGCAGCCTGTTTTGATGGCCAAACAGTCCGCTCAAAGCTCAAATGGCTCGCCGGAACAACTGCAAGTTATGATAATTTTATATATTCATAACTCTTTGAAAAAAAACCAACAAGAGAATACAGATATTGTTCTTAACATTTAGTTTGATAACAGACCCATTGGCTCTTTTATCAAATCTAACAACACAAATAAATTGGAACTGTTAATGAGAAATTCTCTGTGTCATACATTCTACCAAGCTTAGAGTGAAGACTGCGAATTTAAATTACATTAGTCTGCTTCGGAAAAGGTAAGTTTTTCAAAAACAAAAGTAGCGGGTTATCTTGATGATAAATTCGGAGAGTTTATTATCATACATTTCTCTCCTCAGTCGAAAAACTACTTAAATTATCGTTGTAGTTATTATTATTATTATTATTATTATAATTTTCGTTATTATTGTTCAGAATCGCGGACTCGGCATCGTTGTCCGGCGTGACCAAGCGTTAACCACTGCACGTACGAGGACAAGCTCGACGTCAAAAGGTTTCGGTGACCCTCGAATTTAGCATTCATGTTTTAAGCTCGGTATTCTATACACACATAGATATAATACTAGTGTACATCAGCAGGAAATATAATATAATATAGCGAGCAAACGATAAATTGTCGTAGCTGTTCAAACGGTCGCCGCCGCAAACGCGCTTCTCTGCTAAACATATTATTGCACTATTTTATATATTATGCGTGTACACAAACTCTCCCCTAACCAAATACAGAAAATAATCACAATACGATCTTATGTTTATCCTGTAAGATTATTTTAATGTTGCTTAGACATCAAATAGTAGTAAAGCGCCTTTCCCCCAGAACATTTGATAGTGGCCGTTATTGTGACGGATAGATTACAGAAACTCTTAAACAATATATTGTATTATGTTCGATAGTTCTAGATAATAAACGATGTATTAATTACATAATAGTAGCCTATAGGTCCCAAAGTTTTGAATAAAACAATTCCAATGATTTTTTTTTTCATAGTTTGCATAAATTAGTTTTTGTTTGAAATGTTAAGCCAGTTACCAATTAAATACAATTTGATAAACAAATTGACAAGAGTATAGAATAGGTACCTACACTTAATTATACATATTACATATTATGTAATTGTATATTAATTTATGAGTTGACTTAGATATACTTCAGCTGAAATAATAAAATAAATTTATATGCTTGATTTATGAGTAAGTTAGATATTTACAATGGAGTATTACTGTTTAAAAACCTAATTATAATCGATGAAAAAACTATCTTGTATGTTTGTAACTGATATACATAAGTTCTAATAGTGTTAGATTATAATTCCAAAATGTTATTGTCATTCATGTATTGAATTTATATTAATTTTGTAATAAATATTTAAGTTATTTCAGGTGATATTGTATTTGATACAATTCATATTATTATAATAATATTTTATTTGTATTGGCATAAAAAAACTTATTATTATTATTACATATTTTTATTAATTTTAGGACTTCGTTGTCATAATAATGTCGTTAATGTAAATTACAGAATTCTTATAAATATATTAAAGTTAATTGTGAATAATGAAAATAGTAATATTATATATGTCATTAAATTATACTTAAAACAATCATTTTGGTAACCCTGGTAAGGAATTTTGAGGACATGGTGGATAAATAATGGTCCGTTGGTTCATTTGTAAAACCGTACATTGTTTATAATATATTTTATGAGTTGAGAAACCTTTAAAAGAACGTTTTAGTTGTCATTCACTCATCCCCCAACAACATTTCTTTAAAATTATAGTTAAAAAAATGTATATATATTAGATTCATATGATTACAGTTCCTAATGCTTTGAAATAACTATTCATTACAATAGGTTTAGTTACCTATTTGTTTTCAATGCTCTAAAACATTATCGTCGCTAGAACGTAACTTTGACACTATTACTATCGTTCATAAAGCTTACAGGAGTACAGTATTTTTTCCTCACACGGTTCTGTTACCGATAAGTCATGGTGATCGATATACTTGTACGGAAATAATAAATTAACATACTATTAGCTACTCATATTTTTTACGATACACCAGAGACGTAGTTAGACATTTTACGACGGGTAGTCTCCTGAACTTAACTAATATAAACATACTTTAATCGTAAAAAACAAAAATACATGCATGACATGATACATACATACTTTAATTAAAATAAAGGTAGGTATATATGAATGCAAGGCACTACCAGGCCTGCCCTCTGGCTATGCTACACTGGGGTCCACAAAACAACAACCAGCTATGTTTTAATTTAAAAT